TTTTACGTCTGAAGCGCGTCTGGGAGATGTGGGTCTAGGCTATCAGTTCGTGGTGCTTTGCTTGTCTCCCACGACCACTTCAGATGCTGTTTGGAGACCAACTCCAACCAAAAAGTTGGAGACCAACTTTTTTTCCATCTGGAAAAAAAGTTCTAAGAGCTACAGAACCCGTATTTGTAGGTATAGGAACTTACCTTAAGGAAATAAGAAAAAATTTGAGTATAAGTACGTTCGCCATAGAGTTGTTTACACTAGTGAAAAATGCAAACAACTTAGATGTCCAACCGTAAGAGACTGATTAAATACAGTACATGCATACTGAAGAATAATACCGTTGTTATAGGTATAAATTGATGTTCACAACATGTTTATGAGGAGAGGATTACAAACAGTATATTTTAATAATTCCATTTTTGTGGGGGAAATTTTAGAGTGTCTATTATAGCTTTTACACAAGAAACAATCTTTGGAAGAACACACACAAGTGTGACAGTGGTTATGTCTGGGTGGTAGAATTAGAGTTACTTTTCATCTTATTTGATTCACCTGGCTCATGTATTAATTGTGAAGTTAGCAGGCAGCAACTTTTATTTCCTTTCGTCCTCTTTAAGCATGTGGAATGTTTAGGCTGTCTATCTCTAGTTTTCTCCCTTTCCTCACCTCCGCATTTTCAGATGAAGAAGCTGGCCCATCCAATCAGGCTTCGTTTCTTAGACATCACCGGATGTCACACTGCTCGTCTACAGGGCTACTAAGCAACACAGAAGTGTGAGAATCTTGTGGGATAAACTAATGGGATCAAACTCACCCCTCAGATCTCTGAGATCTGCTCGCTTACTTTTGGTGCTTTTTTCCCCCCTCAGTCTTGCTGAGTTAACATTTATACTAAGTCGCTTGAAATCAAATAGTAGGGTTCTTATCTTCACTTTTTTGCAGTGACCTTCTAGCTGACCCTCAAGTAATTTAACCCATGTCCTAATGTTCCAATTAAAACCGCATCAAGTAAGTCAAGTTGGATTTTCCTTTGCATTTTTGTAAGCTTTTCTTCCTTGGGGAGCTCTAAATTTATTAGCGTCTTACAGTCAGGCAGCACAGTTGGGTTTGGAGGCGTAAGTGGCCATCTCCATTCACCCGGTCCGTATTTAGGAGCAGCTTCTACTTGGAGGGTGGAGAACGGTGTTAGCCTGGGCGCCTGCTTCCCAGGCTTGTGGGAGGAGGAATGAGGCCATGCATACTGCAACTGGTTGTCTCTGATATCACCATGTACAAGACACAGCTCTGGGAGCCAGTGAACGTTCACGATGATGTCCACAGGCCCCTGCCATCAATGAGTTTCTAATCTACACAGGGGAAACAAGCACAAAGAGTTGTTCTAATGCAGGGCATGATTTAAGTACCTGAAAAGAAGTAGAAATGAAAAGACACACAAACACACACCTATTTTTATTTCACTGGCAAGAGACGTACTGTTCTGGAGACACCAACAAGGACATCACGAAGGAGGTGGTATCAGACAAGGACCTTTTATAGGCTGTGATTTTATATTTAAAAATTAAATAACTTGTTTTTCTGTGCTTCATAGATATTGTGGTTTGTTTTACAAATTGAAGGTTTGTGGCATCCCTGTGTTATGAGATGATGTCTTAGCATTTTTTAGTAATATTTTTAAATTCAGGTATGTGGATTTTTTTCTTTAGACAATGCTACTGCACACTTAACAGACTACAGTGTGGTATAAGTGTAACTTTTAGATGCACTGGGAAACCAAAAAATTCATGCGACTCCCTTCACTGAGATACTCAATTTATTGCGGTGGTCTGGAACCAAACCCACTATATTTCTCTGATGTCTGCCTATAGTCAAGCTTCTCCCAGATGCCTAGTATTTTATAAATTGCTTTGAAAAGGGCAGAAATCAACTTAAGTGTTTTTCTTAAAATAACCTTGAAAGCTGAATTATTCTAAGTTTAAAGACTTCCAGATAAGGCTGCCGATCTCGCTCACATAGCACACCCCAACTTTTAAACCCTCCTGTTGGCTCTGAATTCCTCCCAATATTGTTTAGGTCTGTCTTCCTTTGGTCAGTCCTTCTGAGAAAGAGAAAAAAGCAAGTCCTCTCCATATCTTAGGCATGCTTACTGTTAGGGAATGAATTGTGTCTCCCCAAATCTGCATGTTGAAGTCCTAACCCCCAGTAGCTCAGAGGGCGACTGTATTTAGAGACAGGGCCTTTAAAAAGGAGATGACAAGTAAAATGAGGCCATTAGGGTGGGCCCTAATCCAATCTGACTAGTATCCTTACACAAAGAGGAAATCTGGACACAGAGAGACACCAGGAATACACACACATAGAAGAAAGACCATATGAGGACACAGTGAGAAGGTGCCATCTGCAAGCCAGGAAGAGAGATCTCACCAGGAACTGAATCAGCAGACACCTTGATCTTGGACTTCCAGGCTCCAGAACTGTGAGAAAGTTAATTATTGTTGTTTAAGCCACCCAGTCTGTGACTTTTTGTTATGGCAGCCCTTGCAAATGAATACACCTACCACCTGAAAACCTCTAGAAAATTCCATGTTTTCATCAACTTTTTACTGAGCACCTACAATACATAAGAAAGACATGAGAGTGTAAGAAGTGGGTACTGACCTGAAGGAACTGAAACCTTTCAGGGAAACAGAATCTGTCAATATAATCACAGAATAATACATGAAAAGTGCCTCAAATGTGGCGCAGAATAGCAAGGGGTTTGGAGAGGAAGGTACTGGCTGCTCTCAGGGACTCATGTGAGGCTTCCCAGGAGAGAGTGGGACTTGGGCCAGGGCCTAAAGGCTCCATAAGACTTTAACAGACGGCTGTATGGAGGGAAATGTTCCAAACAGAAAGAAGAGAACAGGATGAAAAGATTGGGGCATACTGGAGAAATAAATTAGTCTAAATATCAGACTAAACGTAGGGAAAAAAACTGAAGTCTGATCATCCAGGGTCTACAAAGTAACTTTGTATTTCATTACATTTTATAATATAAACAAGAAGTAGAATGAAATTTAGCTGTAGTTATTTAAGAAAAATGTCCTTTTAAAAAGCTTAGGAAGTTTTATCTGTCAAATTTCAGGAATTTTTTTCTATTGCTATTTTGAGTAAGTATCTTCATGTTCAGATAGGCAGATTTCTAATTAGAACAAATGACTTCATCTCCCATCACACTTTACCTCCCAGAGATATTTTTACATTCTATTAGTTTATCCTCTGAGAAAAGAAAGGGATTAAGTCCTTAAAATTAGTATTAATTGAACAAAAAAACCAGAACCATCAAATTTCCTATTTTTAACTCTCTAAGGAGGTAATGAAGTTTTTAAGTACAGAATTCCTGATTATAAGTAATACCCTATTTGCTCAATACTAAGATGGACATTTTTGTCACATTTCAATATTTCTGAAAAAAGAGACATCTAAAATTTAATATATACAATTAATGAGATAAAGGTGTTTTCTCCCTGAAAAGCTATGATTACATCGAAAATGCATTTTACAACTGATGGTATCTTAAAACAAAGAAAATAAGGTGATGATAAAAACCATTGGCCATCAGGACCCAATTCTTCAGCAGTCATGGTACCGCAGCTGTCTGAGTTTCGGGGGACATTTCAACAGATTTTAACCACGGTATTGTGGACACCATGCAAGTCACGCAATGTCCACATCTATGCCTGAATCAGAGAGGGGAACTCTCACAATGATTGTACAAGGTTCATATCTCATCCAATCACATCAAAATCTGCCCCTCCTATCGCCACAGGAACCCATGTTAAAGAGGGGGCAAGAGAAGAGTTTTCTGATGCTTGTTAAGTCCAGGAGCTTAGCTCATTTTTTGATATAGCCTGATCTCCCAGGACCACACTGATCAGGGCCACATGTGCGTATTCCACATCAGGCAACAAACCATCTTAACTTAAATACCAGGTGGAATTTAAATACCAGATGGAGTGCAGTTCTTCTACCTTTACTCTCAGGGCTCTAGCTAAGCCCAAGCAGAGATGCCTCCAAACCTGCTCTAAAGCAGTCGTTTGGGAAAGAGAGAAGAGTCATTGTGCAAATGCAAGCCATTCTAAACTACTAAGTCTTAAGGAGACAATGAACTGTTTGTTCAAACTACTCCCTTCCATGCTACAATACCTGACCACCCGGTGATTACCATTAGTGCTCGTAGCCATCTTCATTTGTTAACGTTTCTCACGGGGTAGCAGTAGAGCTGAGAGCCAGGGGCATGTGCCTCATTTAATTTCACCACAAACAAACCTGAAGTCTAACTATTATTGTCCCCATTATAATAACGAAGAAACAGTAGCTTCTAGAGAATGAATGACCTGGCTAAGGACATACAACCAGGAAGTGTTAGAACAGGAATGAGGATCGCCAAAATATCCTGCCTTCTACTACTACTTGTACAAAGAGAGAAACGTACGGCCTAGGTTAAAAGACACTAAGATGACAGAGCAAGTCATAATTCTAAACACCTCATTCAACAAACATTTAGGTGATTCTATACCATCAAAGGACAACTGCAAAAAGTATTTGGAAAATAAATATTTAATAATAATAATGTAACCATAATCATAACCTTTATATATTTAGACTGCCTTTGTCAAAATTCTTTCCATCATCTTCAGATTCTGCCTAAAAAAAAATTAAACATTGTATTTCTCTTTACAAGTGGGGTTTAAGCCATTGTACAATACTTTAATATTTACAATATCGAACTTAACATACTCTTATGTTCAATGTAAACAAAACCTCAGGTTTTCATTCTCATTTTCTTCTTTCTTCCAGCAAAAGGGTGCTTTATGCCCATTTTTCAGATAAAAGAGGCTAAAATAATATGACTGGAAGAGATTTAAAGAGAGAAAAAAGGCACTGAGAGCTAGCAAACCAGCTAAGGATGGAACAACTCCCCAGGTCTCCAGAGGGGCTGCTGGGGGTGAGGAGGTCCATAAACCAGGAAATACCACCTGCCTACTTTCAAGCTTAGAGAGGTGCATACCTTTGAAAGCGACAGAAATTAAGTCCAGTGAGGCACTTTCAGAAAATGGCATCAAATAAATCTATAAATCGTTCTTATTCGCAAGCCACTGGACATTTAAGAGCAAAGATATTGATGAGCTCTTTCTCTTCTCTTCTTCTTCCCTGTAACAGTCGTATGATTCATGGACTGTCCTTTAGTGGTCTCCATTTTCATCTTATTGCTCTTTCTTTGCTTCTGCTTTCTGACAGCTCTGAAAAACATGGTGCTAAATTATTTTGTAGAGTGAGCACAGTGAATTATGTAATTGTGTTGAAGTTTAATTAACTAGCTAACCAAATAAGAAAACAGAAGGGAAAGAATTTACTGTATTATAAGCATATATCCTCAGACTCCTAACCATAATAACAAGGAGATAGAGTCCTGACCAAGCAAAATGTTTCAGAAAAGAAATTTCTTTGAAACATGGTGACTACAGATTTAGAACAATCTATTCAGGACAAACACACCACAGAAGTAAATAGTCAGGCCAATGAGCTGGGAGGTTTTTTGGTTGGTTTTTCTTTCTTTTCTTTTCTTTTTTTCTTTTTGGTACATCTGTACTGCTCAACTCAGCACTTCAATCTCCAAATCCCTGAATTACATTTTTCAGAAAAAAGACCAATACACTGGCAGTTAGCAGTGGTAGAAAAATGAAATAGAACAATGGAAAAAACTGAAAAGGCTTAAAGAGGCCCATCTTATAGTCCTACAGCTAATTTTCCTTTCCTCAGTAGATCTAAAAGTCCTGACAAGTGCCATACAGGATGCCCACATTTTGTGGTCTCTTCTTGAAGACTAGCTTCAAAATGAACAAGTTGAAGCCACTATGGAAAACAGTATGGAGGTTCCTTAAAAAACTAAAAATAGAACTATCATATGACCCAGCAATCCCACTACTGGGCATATACCCTGAGAAAACCATAATTCAAAAAGATACATGTAACCACAATGTTCACTGCAACACTATTTACAATAGCCAGGACATGGAAGCAACCTAAATGTCCACTGACAGATGAATGGATAAAGAAGATGTGACACATATATACAGTGGAATATTACTTAGCCATAAAAAGGAACAAAATTGAGTTATTTGTAATGAGGGGGATGGACCTAGAGTCTGTCAGAGTGAAGTAAGTCAGAAAGAGGTAAAACAAATACTGTATGCTAACACACATATATAGAATCTAAAAAAAGCCAGTAATGATGAAGCTAGTGGCAGGGCAGGAATAAAGATGCAGATGTAGAGAATGGACTTGAGGACACAGGGTGGGAAGGGGAAGCTGGGATGAAGTGAGAGAACAGCACTGACATACATACACTACCAAATGTAAAGTAGATAGCTAGTGGGAAGCTGCTGGATAGCACAGGGAGATCAGCTTGGTGCTTTGTGATGATCTAGAGGGATGGGATAGGGAAGGTGGGAGGAAGGCTCAAGAGGGAGGGGATATGCGGATATATGTATATGTATAGCTGATTCACTTTGTTGTACAGCAGAAACTAACATAACGTTGTAAAGCAATTATACTCCAATAAAGATATTTTTAAAAAAAATGAACAAGTTGAAACTCACTCTCTAAAAAACATTAAATCATACCAGGAAAAAACCCCCAAAAACACCCAGATCAGGCTTCCCTGGTGGCGCAGTGGTTGAGAGTCCGCCTGCCGATGCGGGGGACAAGGGTTCATGCCCAGGTCCGGGAAGATCCCACATGCCTCGAAGCAGCTGGGCCCATGAGCCATGGCTGCTGAGCCTGCGCGTCTGGAGCCTGTGCTCCGCAACGAGAGAGGCCACAGCAGTGTGAGGCCCACGTACCGCAAAAAAAAAAAAACCCCCAAACCCAAAAAAAACCACCCAGATCCTTTGTTTCAGGTGCTCTCTGAACTACATTACAGGCAATCTATAACTGAGGAAGATTACTGGTCTATCCATTCACTTTCTCCAAGCTAGTAGAATCATGCCATTTATCGTATCATGAACGAAGGGATGGGCTGGGGCTGCCAGTAATGGCAAACCTGGGCATTTCCATGGCTTCCCAGCAATATCAATTGTTAGATTCACTTCTCCTAAACCACCACGAGTCCTAGGGAAATGCTCCTTCTTGATCTTCCCAGGACCAAAACCCGGGAAAGGAGCTTCATAAACAGTATATAATCTCCTAGTGGACCAAACTCAGCCTCTCCTTTTGTTCACTCAGTATATATGTTAAGTGTTGGGAATATAAAAACGAATGGACACAGTCTTTGACTTCAAGGAGCTGGGAGACTGAGACAAGGCAGATGTCACCCTTTCCTTTCCTTCCCCCCAATTTTTTTTAGGGGAAGAAACAGGCTATGAAATCACCCATGAGGAAGTGGCAGAACTAGTTTGATTCAGGAAACTGTGTTCTTAATTACCTTGATACTACATACTCTACTATAAATTATTCAGGTATGTAAAATGCTAAGCATATAGTAATTAATAAATATTAGCTATTATTAGTAGCTCCACATGACTACTACTCAGAATTTTGCTTGGCAATTTTATATTTTTCCATCTTTAGATTTTTCACCATGGACTGGGGTATCCTATAAGTTCAAAATAAAACAATCACCTTTATACTGTTTTGTGCATGTTACATAAATCTCCTTTCCCTCCAGCCATTTTTTAGAAGTAGGATAATGTCCTGATAAGTGATGATTTAGCAAATTTTTTTTTTTTTTTTGCGGTATGTGGGCCTCTCACTGCTGTGGCCTCTCCCGTTGCAGAGCACAGGCTCCGGACGCACAGGCTCAGCGGCCATGGCTCACGGGCCCAGCCGCTCCGCGGCACATGGGATCTTCCCGGACCAGGGCACGAACCCGTATCCCCTGCATCGGCAGGCGGACTCTCAACCACTGCGCCACCAGGGAAGCCCAGATTTAGAAAATTTAATGAAATATAATCTCTTGATGGCAAAGTCAATGAAGCTATGCATGTCTGTATACAAAATTTAAACAAATTTTCTTTGGTTTGTCCACTCAGAAGAACTAAACATGAACCAGATTTCACTAGAAGATAAAGTAAACAAAAACAGAAAGAAAATGTTCATTTGTAATATGAATAAACAAAACTTTCCAGAGATAAAGTCTCTCAACAGTGATAAACTGAGTATAATGAACTGATTGTTTCATTTTGCCTTAAAATTAAATTGACCTAGTATTTGTCCTCTAAATTATAGGTATTTATGTAACTGATAAAATGAGCTCTAACCACAAGAGGGAGCCAGCATCATTCCAGGTCACAACCAAAGGAAAATTAATACCAAGGAAAACCAAATTAACATGACAACTATAAAACCTATAAGATGAAAAGATCTTTTATGCCATATATGCTAAAAAAGCTATTAAAATTATTTTTTACTATTATAAAGAAAAAATTTTGCATTGTCAATTTCATTGTAAAATTTTTTTGAAAGCAGTATCTGAAGATCACTGTTCACAGTTTAGGAGTCTTCTCTAAGAGAAGAAAGTGATACTATTTAATAACTATCAGGTATACCACATACTAAAGAATTTGGTCTTGAATTAAAATTGATAAAATCTAGTACTAAGAGATACTACATGATTTCCCTCAATGAAACAACATATTACTATATTACTGTCAAATTACTATCATATTACTATCAAATAGACTAGTCAGAAACAATAAAGAGCCTACATTGTATTACCAAAATGCAAATTCAGTTTCCACGTGTCATAAGATCACAGAATCAAAGGCTGAGCATGTTGTTTGCAAGCAGAATTACATTGTAATAGTGCAACAACCCCAGATCGATCCTTTATTAGGTTGTATTCTACTCTTAAAGCTTTATAAAAAAATATTTTATAAGCCTCTTCAATATACCTCTTTAATTAATTTTTAAAATTCCACTTCTGCCCTAGATTACTTAGTGGAAATAATTATTTAAAGTAAATTTGATAAAAAGTAATGGAAAAGGTAGTTTAAATACTAGGCAGAATTCAAGTGGCTGGGCTTTAATGGAAAAAAATGATTTCTACTGACCAAAAAAAAAACAAATGGAAAAGAATTCTAATACAATCACAAGTACCTACTAAACCATCAGATACTTCTAATAATAATAGATGTTTTTTTCATCACAAGTCATTTGATAGCTCAAAAGTTTTATCCTGATCTCAACGGTCATGTAATGTTAAACTTGGCTATCTGGTTTTCACACCAGTAAAACAAGAGGACTCAATAGCTATAATCCCTTCAGTTTAAAAGGAAAAAAGTGTAACATTCAAGTTAGCCCAGTTGAAATACCAATAGTTTTTCTAAATATACTATTGTCATTGGTATAACTTTGCTCTGAATTACACAGCTATATTACACAAATATATAGGAAGTGAGTCACTTTCTACCTTATATTTTGGTTATTTTCATGCCTTACCTGTAAAATTTTATGCTCTTTGACTCACCTTCATATCCTCCCTCTCCCCATCTATGCAAACAATACCTAACAGTGAAAGCAACAATTAATTTAGCATTTAGCATTTCTGGATCCTCTGATTATTGTGTACTTCTGTGGATTGCTATGTACAAATATACAAGGAAAATTTTTTCTAGTAAATAAAAGAATTCAACTAACTTGTTAACTTTCTTAGATGTAAAGATGTTAGGACAAGTACTCCGTTTATGATCTAATTCACCACAAATAAAGCAGCCATCTTTAGGGCCGTTGCAAGAATGATCTGGAAGAGCACAGTGACTGCAAATGTTACAGTGGATCCAGGCTGTAAAATAAAAATTAGGTATTAGAAGAGGTTCATTTAATATAATTTTTCATTTGATTAACCTTTATGATAAGGAAGCGCGAATAGTGTTTACTTCAAATATTGTGATTGCTTTGCATAGCTAATTATAATTTGGCTAAAGAGGCCAAGATTAAGAGGTTTGAATCCCATGTAAACCAGCTAACTTCTTTCTGATACATGGCAACAAATTCAGCCCTTCTGCCCTGAGTCATGAGCTTAGAGCCACTGACCAAATGGGGGCTGGCTGAGTGATACAAAACCCTGTTAAAACAAGCCAAAGCAAATGCAACACTGAAACAGGGTTAAAGTCATGTCTCTCTTTGAAGGAGAGAACGTACATTTTGGCAAGTGTAAAAATTAAAAGGCAAGTAAATTAATGCAAGTCTCTATATTATTTTTTTCTTTTGTAAATACAGTTAAATAAAAACCCTATTTAGATGAAGAAAAAGTCAAATATTTTCAGAAGATCTCAAACACTTAAGTCTGAATACTTACAAGGCTTTACACATTTTTTGCAGAGAAAGCAATGATTCCATTTCCTGCCATCCTACAAAAACAATTTTTAAATTATGTTTAACTTGTCACTAAAAATCAAATTTCCACAATTAAAAATTAAAATGTCATTAAAATCTGTGTAAATTATTTATTCCTCATTTCTCACTTTCCTGGGCTTTACTATTAAATACTTTGATTTTAATTTATGCATTTCTCTACTCAACTCAAATGCCTCCTTGATGGGCCCCAATTTCCTTAACTCTAAAACTGGAGGATTTATCTAAATGATCTTGAAAGTCCACTCCAGATCGAGCAACCCAATCTGCATAAAGAAGGACTCAATGAAAATTTCAAGAGAATTAATGATTCATAGTTTTTATGTGTCTAGCTGGTATAATCCTTAATAACATTCATATTTGAGAACTTAATGTAATTTAGAAGGATAGAGGTTACTATTTGGGTAATTTAAAAACTGTGAAATAAAACATACCTAAAAAAGTACATGAGATGCATATGTCCAGTTTAATGAGTATTATAAAGTGAACACTGATGAACCCAACAAGTCAAGAGACAATACCATCAGTACTCTAGACACTTCCCCACATGCCCCTTCCCAACCCAGCATTCCTCCTTCCCCACTGAGAAACACCTATCTTGGTTTTTGTGATGGTCACTTCCTTGCTTTTGTTTATTTTTTCCACTTACGTGTGCATCTCTAAATAATAAAATTTTGTTTTCCTCATTTTGTACTTTGTATGATCTAAGCAAAATTTTTTTAATGAAGAATACAGATAATTTCTAAACTAGTTGGAAATATATAATCAGATGTGTTACCATAGTTAAAAACCAGTATAACCAGTAGTATAAAGTTATAAAAAATGTACTTTCCAATAGTTATAAAAATATAGCCTTTCCTCTGGCAAATAATATGTGCGTATCAGCCAACTAAACTTCACATGTTCTTTCTGACTGGATTTAGTTAAAATAACCGAGTAACCTAAAGGTGATCCCACCTTCCTAAAAAAATAACTAGGAGGTATGTCCCCTGCAGTCCTTCCTCATCTGTAAAAAGCCCTGTCTACTAGTGCTGTGAGGAGTAAATACACAGCACATGTTATTAATTATTGCTTCATCAGAACAGTGATGGTATCTAATAGTTCAATTCCTTATTCGAAACACCTTAATTTTGCCCTCAACAAAATTTAGCCCTTATTTAGTGCCTTATTTGAAACACTAATAATCTCAGCAGTCATACAGTACCATATAAAAATAACTCAAATAGTTGTAAATGATGATGAAGGCAACTAAGTATTTTAAAAGCCTGCCGTACTTTATAATTAGAGAAAAAATATTATAGTAAAGTATAATTAATAAATGATAATACATTAATACAAATTATAATATTAACAAAATAACATTAAACAAATGTAATGAAACTAGTGACCTAAAATAAAACTAGTATGTTTGAGTAAAAACACATTCTAAAGAAAACTGTACCTTGGATGTGCAAGAATTACAGTGTTCACAATGCTGATTCTCTAGAGAAACATATCGCTGACACAGAGGGCAAAATCTAAGGAGAAAAGAAAAGACTCGAAGAAATCAGCTGCATATACTTATTGAGATTCACAAGGTAGATAAAAGTTCACAAGGCATTTGTTACAAAAGTTCGGTGTAATTCAAATTAAATTCAATATAACATTATAGGCCAAATTTAAAAGTAATAAAAGAACTACATGAGTCAATATGAAAGGCATTTGGTGTTAGATATATGGAACTTTATTTTCAGTGACTTGTGTACTTCAAGGTCTCTCTTACCTGTACCCTTCTTCAATAGGAAGGATTATTTTGTTGGGTGGGATATTGGTGAAAATACGCACAGGAGACTGTTTCCGTCCTGTCTTTCCATGTTTATAAAGTGCATGATTATCATAATCTACCTAGAAAGTTTAAAAAAATTAAAAAGGAAAAATTTCTCAAATGAGTCAACATTTGTTAAGATTCTTTAACCAATAGATGAACAAACTGATGCCAAGATACAAATTAAATCAGAGTATTTAATAAGAAGTTCTCAAAAGCAAGAGTTTACTTATTAATCAACAGCCTCAGAGGGGCCTCTATGAGAGTAAAATTTCATTATAAAAAAGGTAAAATTTGTTATGACACATTCATGTTACCTAGGATTCAAAAAACAACTCTAATCTTTTATCCAACTCAACAGAGTTTGCAGGAAAGGCTTTTATATAATTAAGACTTTAGCTTTGGGCATTAAAACATTCCACCTTTGATGATCTGTGCCAGCTTGTATAGGGCTTTTCATTTTTTGCCTGTGAAATTCACTGCATGCCCGTTTTTCAATTCCCCAAGGCTCAGTGCAGCCTCAGTGTGGCCCTCCACCATCACTCTCTGACAGAGCCAACCCAGCATTCCTCCTTCCCCACTGAGAAACAGCTATCTTGGTTTCTGTGATGGTCACTTCCTTGTGGGGGCCAGGCAGTGGTTGTGCCACTCACTTTTCATGTGACCTCAGGCAAGTCTGCATCATTTTCATCTGGAAAAGGAGGTTACTGATACCTACCTTAGAGTTGTTATGAAAGTTAAATGAGACAATGTATGTAAAACACTGAATTCAGGACCCGGCATATGGTAGAGACAGATTGAAGGATGGAGTGCAGAGGGAAATCTATAACTATAGTTGTTTTCCCCACAGTGACTATTTTGAACGTTTACCTCTCTCCTCAAGATCCCTAACTCAACTTTCCATTTCTGCAGATTATCTGGAAAGTAAACTGAGGCCAACAAGCATGATTTCTATTAGCTTCTTGCTCCCGTCTCCTCCTCCACCCTATCATCCATACACATTCTCAAAACCTGCCATGAATCCACCTGGCCACTGAGTCCATCCATCTTCAGATCAGTAATTCTCAAAGTGTGGTGTCTGGATCAGCAACATCAGCATCACCTGGGACCTTGTTAGAAATGCAAGTTCTTGCCCCACCTAGGACCTAATAACACAGAAACTCTGGAGGTGCGACCCTGCAATCTGTTATTTTTAACAAGCCCTCCTGGCACACTGAAGTTTGAGAACCACTGCTTCACATGACTCACAAGAATACCATGAGGTTTTTATAAGGTTAATACAGGTAGATCGCAACTTTCAAGTAAGTTGTAATAAATTCTTTAGATTCTAAATAAGGTTACACTTAAGAATTTACAACAGAACTGACTTGCAAAGTAGCTATTTAATGAGAGAATTACAAAAATGTGAGGTATCGGTGACAATGGAAAGAGAGGCCTTTAATGGGAGGGAGATTCCTAAGCTCTCTCCATGGCTATGCCAATGCCTGCTAGATTTACAGGTGAACAAATTTAGGAAGACTGATTAACAAGCTTCAGCGGTGGGAAAAAAATAAGTACAGGATGAGGAGACTCAGCTAAATGAGAGACAGTGGGGGAAAAGAAAAAAGCCCTAGGGCGTTCGGCATGTGAGCACGCACAGTCCAACGTGGGAAGTCCACAGTCTATCACAAAGGTGTAAGAGCTGGTGCGGGCTCACAGCCGGCTTACACAGAACTGTAATATCGTAACAAGGAAGGGCGACGAAGTTAGATCACATTTGAAGCCCTCCATTCAGCTGCTACATTTTAAGAGAGACATTAATCAAGCCAGTTCATTTCTACTGAAAGTAATGGGAATAAATAGGGCTTATAGTTTAACAGATTGGGGGTGTTTATTCAGAAAAGAGAAGACTGGGAGGATCTGATAGCTATGTTATAACTGAAGGGGTGTCATGTGGAATAGAAATTAGACTTATCCTTTATTGCTTCGGAAAACAGAAGTAGGACCAATGGTTAGAAGTTAATAGGGAGCATATTTTATCTCCATGTGAGAAAATTTTCTAACGATTAGAGCTATTAAATAAATTGAGTTGCCTTGTAAGGCTGTAGGACTTTGCTCAGGGAAAGCATTCAAGTGAGACTAGATGACTGCTTGTCATGAATTTAGTGGAAAGGATTATTACATTGGGAAGTCAGCCTACGTTAAGGCTATGCATGTTTACAACTTTAAAATTCTATGAATATACGTTACCTATTAGAGGCTAAGACACAAAAGTAGATTTTACTTCAAAATCACCGTTACACAGTACCTTAAGTCGTTTTCTTTTAAAATGATTTAAATTCATAATTTTTCCCTAATGCACCTTCTCTATGTATTCAGTAAATATATGGTACCATATTAAATTCAACAAAGATATTTTGAACATTTATGAGTGTCATAAGAGAAAAAATTCTTCCCAAGAGATCTTATGAAGATTTTCAAATGCTGGAAAAGAGTATCTTAGAAAGATTTTTAGTAAATGGAATAGTCCATGCAATATAATAGATAGCAGATGGAAGAGAGGGAATAAAAAAGAATTTCTTTATGGTTACCTCAGGAGTCAGAGAATGTGTGCATCAGGGAGCTGGTTGATTACTTGATTTTGCATAACCTAATTGAGATTATTATTATTTTTAAATGTGGGTTTGTTGTGCTAATTAACTATAAACATATGGTATGTAAAATGCATGCTGCTAGGGTAAATTAATGTACCTCTAACATACATCCATATTTCATAGCTTCATCCACACAAATAAACCTCCTATGGAAGTGCTGTAAAGCAAACACAATTTTGCAAATTGCGTATCACTAGTGGTAGAGCTGATACACCACTTTCCCATCATTATCCCTGACATTTCACTCACAATGATGATGAGAGGCATTTTTGAATAGGAAATTTCTCCCATGGAACTGATTAATGTGATGAAGTACTGTATAGAAATGAGGGAAAGCACAAAATCTCTGCAATTCCTAACTTTTAATTTTATCTATACACAAATTTCTTCTGCAACATGAGACTGAAACTAGTTATACGGAAAACAAGACATTCAAGTCGACAAACATTTATTATTCTGCACCTACTATGCTCCAGGTATCATGCTAGGAAACAAAGCTTAAACAAAACAGAGTACATGTTTATATTTTCATAAATCCCTAAAGTGTGTTCTGTTTAATTTCAATATATTCAAAAGATTCCAAGTGAACTCTTCAGCTCCATCAATCAACTTCTACCACAGCAATAAGGTTTTTTAGTCACACCATATTCCATGTAACCTCTTATTTTAAATATCATATGTATTACACAGACATACACATATATATATGTGTGTGTTATTCCTCATCACTTCAAATCCATTAAATGTTTTATGTTTATTGTATATTGAATTTTGAGAATTTCATGTGTCACCTTATAATTTACAATCATTTCTCAGAAATTCCTGTCAAAACCTCTTCATTTCTGAACATGAAACCAGACTCGAAAAACAAACAGTTTTCTAAACAGGATGATTTTTTAAAAGACAGCTTTAAAAAAAAGCAAAGATCTCTACTTTTAACAATCCAGACAAATGTCCCAGATTAAGCAGAAACAAGAGATCATAGCATGTTCGAGGTGGAAGGGAAGTGAGAAGATCTAGTTCAGATATGGTAAATACAGGACCTGAATGCCATCACTCCCTGACGCTGACCCTGTGGCAGACATCACTAATCAGTCACGCTACTCTCTGCCACTGAGCCTGGTATTCTCAACAAATTCTCCAGAAAGTCACTACCAATTTATCGGGCTTAAGTCTAAAAGTAAAACTTATCTGGCATCCTTTTTCTGGCTCAGTCATTTTATTTTATAGGTAAGGAAACAGAGACCTGGAAAGATAAAGTGACTTCCCTCAAGATTATATTTAATCTTCTAAAAGGCAGTGCTAGGACTCAAACTTCTTCTGACTCTAAATCAGAATTTCTTTTCATTACCAAATCCTTCCTTTCTAATCTGCCCTTACTAAAGCTCTTGGTTTTCTAGGTCTTTGATAGCTATTTTATTCTGTACTCATCAAGTGCTTTATCACTGAAGAGTCTACATGATTTATAGTTTATGAAGATTGGCAGCATTTCTGCCTTCCTCTTACCTAAAAAGTATTTCCAAAAAAAGAGATTTAGTGGGTTTTTTTCTTTTTTTCTTTTTTTGACTGTGGTTTCGGGGCTTATAATCACCTCAGGCAAAGTCAGAGGGAAGGCCTGATCAAGGCCTGTGGGAAAAGGCCTGTGAAGGAGGAGAGGAAACCTTCCAATTTTTCATTTGATGAAGGCGGCCAATATCAAAGGGAAAAATTACCACAAAGTGAAGTTAAAGTAACAAAAGAAAAAAAAGGAATGCAAAAGGCTCAGAAAGGATAATAAGTCCAGAGAGAGTTTCAAAAAAAAAAAAATAGTAAAAAAATCATCAAAGGGGAGGTACAACAAACAAAGTTTACATATACCCTAGGAGATCTGGCAAAATCAGTTTCTCCCACTGAGCATGTAATGGGCAGTAGTGTTTTTATCTTTAATAAGAACCATGAAAAAATGAAGTTTTTTTTGTTTTACAGGTTTTATTCTAATTCTTCTTCTCAAAGGTTGGCTTTCTCTTTATTGGAAAGACTGCTTTTCACCCTGATACACATGGCCTAATTAGAACCTTTTCCACCAATGCACTGAATCATATGATTACTTTCAGTAAGCTTGGACCTTGGAATTAGTTCTTAAAATTAAAACTACAGTCTTTCCAAAAGTTCTTTCCTAGTAACACAGGCTGTCTAAACAAACAATAACTGGTTACTACACATTAATAATCGCTCTCATCTGCTTTATTCTGGATCTGCCTTCTTCTGCCTCCTCACCAATTGAAACTCTTGCCCACAGTGAAAACTCATCTCTAAATGTGGATGAAACAGTTTTCTGAGGAACGATGTGTTTTGCAGTTAAAACAATGTGTTTTGCGACATAAAAACTGAAGAAAAGCTTTACCCCCATTCTGGGGCCATCTGAATGATGACTATAGTGATGGTTACGACAATGCTAACAGCAATAACCTTTTTTCTATATTTGCTGTGTGTCAGGGATGAGGCTAAATCTTTTAATGTATTATCTCAAATAATGCTTAAAACCTTATGAAGCAGATATATTGTTACTATGCTCATTTAACAGGTAAGATGAGTTTCAGAGAGTTAGATAAAATGTGTAGGCCTAGCTAGTAGGTGGCAGAACCAGCATTATAACCCAGTTCCTTTTCAACTCCAGAGTTCGTGCTCTTTTTCATGCAAATATTCATTCAACATGTACAGGGCACCTACTACGTGCCAAACATTGTACTAGATGATTATTCACTGTCAAAGGCAGCAGGTACTCCTGGAAACCAGAAATAGTTTACTTAGTTAACGTCTTTAGGATACGTCAGCTACCTCTGTATTGCAAATGTCCATATTAGAAGCATCCTTCAGATAAGAAACAGAAAACTGGATGCCCTAAAAAGGAAAGTAAACCAGCTTTGAGAAGATATATGGTATGGATTTGCCTAAAGCAGAGCTCAAGAAGTCAAGGTTAAAATGACTTGTGCTACACACTTTTGGAAAGGACACTGTTAATATGGTTCAAGAGCCATAAAAAAGTCCATTAAATTTGATAACGTAACTTTTATAATTCTATTTTAGTTTTGGAAATTTATCTTAAGGGAGTTATGGAAAATATGGAAAAATTATATGAATAAAAGATGTTCATGGCAGTGTTATTTATAGTACCTTAAAGGTGGGAGCAACCTCTAAGTCCAAAAAGAAGAGAATGATAACATAGCCTATTGATGGAATAATTTACTTATTAAAAGCATAAGATTATATAGCTACATTTTAAAATATACACTTATATAAGGCACCATGAAGAAAGCAGAATTCATATTCATCTTCTATGATTACAAATATGTAAAAGTGTTTTTTAAAAAGACTGGATGTGAATACAGCTGACCCTTGAACAGCATGGTTTGAACTGTGTGGGTCCACTTATACGTGGATTTTTTTCAATAGTAAATACTGAACCAAAGTTGGTTGGCTCCACAGATGTGAAACTGCAGATGTGGAGAAACCTCACATACAGAGGGCTGATTATAAGTTAGACACCAATTTTCAACTGCACCCGTAACCCTCCTGTTGTTCAACAGTCAACTGTACCTCAAAATTATCATATTTGCTATGTGAGGTGGAATCACAGGTAGGATCTATCCCCTCATTTCTGGTAACACTGTTTCATTATTTGTAAATAATTTTCATAATAGTGTATATCTTCAAGACTAGAAAGATTAGAACCAAGTGCTATAGGGAATTATACCCATTATCTTGTAATAACATATAATGGAATATAATCTGCAAAAATACTGAATCACTATGCTGTACACCTGAAACTAACACAATATTGTAAATCAACTATAAAAAAAAAAAAGAAACAAGTGCTATTGGAACAACTAGTGAAGATGTTTACAGTTCTAGAGCTGAAAAGCCTTAATCAGAGGCTAGTCAACTGCTCAGAAAAATCAAATAGAAAAATGTCATTACAAGAGTGGAAGCAGTGCCCACTTGGTGACCACACATAGTGATGGCGACAACAGGGTTAACCTCAGAACCCAAGGAAATGAATCCAGGAGAGTGGACATTGAAACAGAAGGAGTTGAAGGACAAGGATGCAAAGGAGGAGGTCCAGTCAGTCTGCCCTGAATCAGCACACCCACACCTCAGCATCTCTGCTTCTCTGACACACCACAACCTTGGGCACACCCATCCTTAGAGCTCCTGGCATCCTCTGAGCAGCAAAGTTAAGTGTACATGGCATTCTACCCACCAGAAAAAGCAATTTACTTCTCTACAACCTCTGAATGGAGAAAACCCATGTTCATAATGATGATCCTGGGGTGCTGCACAATCTTCTGGTGATGATGAAAGATCAGATCATTTGGTCTAAAACCTGGCTACAGTTCAGAATCACCTGGGAAACTTGGTAAAATATTTTTTCTTAGGGCTTTACCCTCTGATTTTGATTTAGTAGGTTTATTTTGGTACCTAAGAATCTATATTTTTAATAAGCACCCTAGAGATTACAGACATTTAGGAACTACTGCACTAAGTTACATATGATACAGTTTTAGTGTTTCACACAGCTTATAGTGTTTGCATTTACTAAAACTGATGAATCGTCTTATCAGGATATTTATTTAAGCAGAATATCCATTCCCCAACCATGTCAGAAAACAGAATATTTACTATACCTGGTAATCCAGCATGCAGAAGCTTGGGAAAAACTGACAAATTCGGGATTCAAAAAAATAGGGAAAAATCCAGAATATGGGTAGTTCTTTGTGACTGTTATCTAATGGATCACAAAAAAAGAGAAAAGAAAATAAGAAACTGATATTAAAGAAAAAAATAAAGTAGAAAGCTGTTACTGGAAAACATATGGTATTGGGAGAAACTGTAATCCTTCAATACATTTAAATCATACAAACGAAGAGATGATTTACCAGAGTACCATTTACAACTTGACCTTTCCCAAAAGTCAATGGAAACATTCTTTTATATCTAAACACAGCTATACACGGTATGTAAAAGTTATCTTTACATGCATATCACTATAGTCTAGGTAAAGGCAAAGATATTACAAAAAAAGTGGGAGATAACAAATGAGCATCACTTTGAAGCACAAAGGTGGTTGTGATATGGTAGAAGGAATCCTGGACCAAAAGGCAGAAGGCCTTAGGTCTGAATCTTAGCTCTGCCATAACTCACTATGCCAGTTTTCAGGGTGAATCCATCTTTTCTGAATCATGGAAGATTCTTATGAACAATTTCATCCAAATTAATTTTTATGAGAGACAGGGGACATAGCTATTAATTACAGAGCACCTGATACAGGTTAGTACAATGCTAGGTACTTTCTGTGTATTATCTCCTTAAATAACCCCTGGAGTTCGATGTTAATATAGTAATCTCATTTCACAGATGCGGAAACTGAAGCTGCAAAATTTAAGCAATTTGTTCAAATTCATGCAGCTAATAAGCAGCAGAATCAGTTCAAGCTCACAAAGCTTTTTATTGCTTTCCCAACAACAATGACTTTATCCACTCTGATAAGTAGACTTTAGAACCAAAAATAAGTGGAATACTTAGCACTGTGAGTCATGTTTTAAATTTCATTTGCATTCCGTCCCCAAAGCACACTATTTATATAGCACAATTAATGGAGAAGCTTGATCACAAATTCCTGACACTCTTACATTTATCAACTTTCAGGTTGGAAACTGAAAAATGATTATACTGACTAATTAGATAATTACATAAAATACTTTGAAGTCCTAAGCCATTTTAAGCTGAATATCCCCCAGTCATTAACCCACTTCTAGGGTTGGGTATCCATGTGACACTGATAACCACTGTTAGGCTACTGGACAGCCAATGTTCCCACACAAATCTCGGCACAGTTTAGAGCTGTGGACCAGGGGCTGGGTGCCCTCCTAGAGTTCCGGGCAAGACTTTTGGAAGAGGAAATGTAAGGTCTAAGTGGGCAGAGATAAGTGTCTGTCTTGTTCACCCTTCCATTCCCAGCACCTAAACAGTACCTGGTACATAGTGGCCATTCAGGAAATATTTACTGAAGAAATGCCAACAGTTCACTGCTATTCTTCATAATGTCCCCTTATGCCCACCAAAAACAAATACTTTACCTATGAGCCATTTTTAAAACACATGATTAGAATAATACGAAGTGTATCATGACGATAAAGTTATTATCAAATAAGCCTATTTTTAAAAAAAGAAGAGAACGCAAGACATGTATATTTTATCAGTGCTCTGATTCACTGAGCTCTGCTAATATTTGACAGGAAGTATATACATAGATACATGTTTATTTTGCAGTAAGTAATAAATTACACACCTTGGCTTTGACCTTCTTTCCACATAGCAATTAACTTCTTGAATGTAACAGCCAGAGGTTCAACCAAGCCACCAAAAGGAGGATCTGTCACCATAATGACTCCTTCACCTTTATCTTTCTGTAAAAATGTTCTGCATACTTCAAGGGCAGCCTGGAACAAACAGAAATTCATTTCTAAATTAGGACTAAAGGGAGGTACTTCATCATATTGGGAGGAGAATGCATTAGGCTCAGTCTCACTCTTCGGACTGAACTTCACCCATCCTGCCACCCCAGAGTCCCTCAGTGACATCCTGAAGCCTCTCTCATTCAGCCCCCGTAAGATTTTATCTTTGGGTTCCTTGATAAGTGGGTTTTTAAAATTGCAAATTCAAACACCATCACTATCAGAGGACTACACATTCAAATGGCTAAATTAAAAAACTAAATTTAGTAACCTAAAAGACAGAAACTCACTACCCATGAGGACTATCTAAAATGCTAAATTCAATTCAACAGACAGAAGCAAGGACTGTGCTAAAATAAACACTGGAGACACAAAGACAAATAAGACATATTTTTTCCTGTCTGGTTTGTCCACCACCATAAGTTCAGGTTAATGAGAGCCAAATTACCAGTTAAACATGCACATGTTTTTGAGTGCCAGGTAAATGACAGGCATATTTGAACATGCAAAGTAAATAAATGAAAGCTCACAAATAAAGCTTATCCAGGCCATGAAACCATGCTATTAACACATTTTCCCAACAAGTTGACGTGTTTTTAGTGATTGCAAAGTTAACATTAAAAACTGTCTAGGATATTTATCACTTTTTTGCTTTGGGAGAAGTCAGTAAGAGACAGACCTGTAATATTAGCTCTAATCTACTGACTTTGTAGTTGCTTTCAAGTACTTATCTATAAAAGCAAATCAACACAGTATACAAAATGGCAGAAGATTTGAAAGCTTAATGGCATTTAAACTTTAATAAACCTATATGTACTTTATAATAAAATATATATTGTTCTACTACTAAATCAACTTAGAAGACCCAACTGATGAAAGGAAAAAAATCACAACATCCTCATCCCTTTTTTCTAGTAAAGTCTTCCTCCTCAAAGTCCTACAGCAAAGGATGGTGTCAAGAAGGTTAATCATTTTTCAAGTGCTGCCTGGCACTTCCTTAACCTGCCTACACGAACAAGGACTAAAAGTACAGATGATGTTACTGAAAAACCTTCAAATTCCTTGGAGTAAAACAGCTATACTCCAATACAAATTTTAAAATAAATAAATAAATTAAAACCCCTTAGAGTTAAAAGTAGAAAAAAGAAATTAAGTGAACGAGGCCTGAACTCTTAACCAAATTAACAAAGAAATTAAAGAATATCTTCCCAGGTAAGAATCAATGGTAGGATGTCCTGTCCTAGGTTGCTGAGGGTCCTAATGTTGACCACCTATGGGAAACAGACACTTGCTTACGCCACCAAGGTTGACAATAACTTAACTCTGTTCTTCATCTCAGTCATCAATAAAAAAGTGCTCGGCATTTTAAATAGCCACCCTCTGTACACACTTTAACCACCTTACCAATAAGGCGTATGACATTTTTTATTACACAAAAGACTATATTATTTGCTATGAAAAAAAATCCTGTGCAGAAAACTCCTACTTTTTAATCCCATGAACTGTGAAAAGCTTCTGTGCAGTGGCAGAGGCTTAGATCCTCAAAGGCACATGGTACCTCAAAGGCTTATATGCCTTCACAGACAGACACCTAGTAGACACTTAAATGCTTTGGTGATTGATTAGTAGATGGTAATCTCTACTGAAAACCCTGACTCCGTAAGTAGGTAGAAAAAGGGGAGACAGTAAAATCTTTAAACAATAGTTTTCTGTAGGTCACTCTCTACAGTTGTAGTGCCATTTAGTGGCTGCTCCTAAAATATAGAGAAAGGAGAGCCTGAGCTGGATGACTGTTTTCTTCTGTGAAACAGAACATGGAACTCAGTCTTGGCAGCTTATTCCAACCATTATTCTAGAAACTTGTAAGGTAATTCTATAAACTCTCAATAAGTTACATAGAATTTCCTAGAAAAGGCTACTTACATGTTACTTTCTTAAGATATATGAAATTGCTAGCCAACTCTTCGGTATTTAAATGTAATTTTACTCGTCTTTATTGTTCAAATTAAAAAGCAAAATCATGGTCTGGTATTAAAAACAAACAAATACCTGACCCACTACTGCAGCATCAAGCAGTAATATGAACTCAGTTCCTTCCTCAGCTGTGTCACCAGTGCTGACAACACCCCTGAGCTCAAAGCGCCACAGTTTCAAGAGACCACACTGGACACTTGCACGTCGATGTCGTGCCAGCCCCACAAACTCAACATTTCCAAACGTCGCTTCCACACTTCCCTACTCTCTGTTTTGAAGAATGGAAGATGAATCCAGGTCACGGCCCCAAGTCATCTTTGATTTCACCCCCGGTACACTTATCACCAAGTCTTCTTCTTTTTTTTATATATATTAGTTTCAGGTGTACACAGAGTAATTACACCAAGTCTTCTGGTTTCCATCTGGGAAATGCCTTCAGAATCCACTTCTTTCCTCTCTTTTCTCCACTGTCACTGTCCGAGGTGAGAAGCCCCTCTTCATCTTCTGTCAAGCAGTCTTTCAATTCCTCGTTCTCCTTCATGCTCATCAAATCAGTTCTCAAATTCTAGTGTTTACCAACCACACAAGCACTCTGGGAAACAGTGAAGTCTAATTCTGTTATTTACTTCAATACTTGGTTTGCATGGCTTTCGCGGCTGAAAAATATGTATCCCCATGCTAAATGGATTCTGATGGAAGGAGTACATCACTGGCTATACTTACTAAATCTCATTTTTCAATGAGTCTCATTTTTTCAATCCCAACCAACAATTTAGAATCTATTTTCATTTCCTGAATGCTTAGTTTTTTAGTCTTGCTTGGTTTTCATTCTGTCATTAGCTAATATCTTAAAGCACAATATATACTTAAAACATGACTCACAATTCTTTAAAAATTGATATATACCCATCATATATATGTATGGATATGCTTCAAGCAGTCTTGATAATTTCAAACATTTCTGACCAACCTCCTGTCAGGTGTGATTACTTGGTTGGTTATAGATTTTATTTTGTAATGGGACTGACAAAGAGCTCAAATTAGGAGTAGAAATATCAGCTCTGCTATGTTGTTTATTCACAATGATGTTATTAACATCATATTGAAAGAAGATTTTTTTAAACCACTCTCCCTTTTTTATAAGGTTATTTTTTTTTAGAGTAGTTTTAGGTTTACACCAAAATTGAGAGGAAGGTACAGCGATATCCCACATACCCCCTGCCCCACACATGGATAACCGCTCCCACTATCAACAGCACCCACCAGAGTGGGACACTTGTTAGAAGTGACAAACCTAAACTGACACATTATCACCCAGAGTTCATAGATTGGAGTTAACTCCTGACACTGTCTATTTTTTAAGGATTAGTTTAATAAAACCATAAATCCCCTTAACTGGGACATGAAATTTATCAGGAAGGCAGACAGCAAACAACTAACTACAGAATTATTTAATTACAGCATCATAAATCTACAAAGGAGAACCTGACCTTGTCTGAGGGTCACGGGAGGCTAAAGAAAGTGACTTGGAACAGGGTTCTGAAGGATGAGGTGACATTAACAAGGCAAAGAGAGAGTAGAAGGTGGAGGGAACAGCATGGGCAAAAGTCCCTGTGGTGGAAAGGCCAGCTTGAGATGAAGGTCATATGTCCTGAACACGAACAGCAAAGCAGGAACAGGGAGAGGACAGGCTGGAGAGTGGCAGGGGTCAGATCACAAACAGCTATGTGAGTCTTGGTGAGAAAGTGGCTCTTCACCCAAGAAGCAGTGAAAAGTCATGAAAGATGAATAACATGATCACCTCTAGGTGCTCAATACACACTCAGTGAATGAACAAAAATAAATATCAATAAGTGGTAGAAAAGCCACCATTTGCTCTTGAGGGACCCTAGAAAAATAATGAAGGAAATACAATAAAAGAAAGAGATAACTGTCATAATTCTTACCTTTCCATCAAAGAAGTGATGGTTAAACATGTTATAATGGCAAAAACTATCTTCCATATAAAACTGTGAATACCTGTAAGATAATTTGTTTATTACTGCAGTTACTTGTCTGGTCATAGTTATACATACATACATACATACATAAATAAATAAATAAATAAATAAATAAATAAATGTAAACTAAATTTTAAAACTATGAAATCACACCTTTAATAAAATCAATTTCATCATCCTTTAGTTTTTTGAAATAAAGAATACTTTCCCAAAATCTCAAGAAGTCAGCAACAGAGGATGAATAACAAACTTAAATTATGGTCCCAAGTTTAATAAACCAGTGGCGAACTGGTCCAGCTCCTACGGACCAGAAGATTCTACATAAATAATCATGTTCCTGATAGATTATTATGCAACTTAAGCTTGAAATGGGCTGGCAATTAAAATACATCTCTCATAGTTAATAATTTTAAGGAAAATACTGAATCAACATTTCTTCTCAACAGCTGTTAATTATTTTCTTCCGTGGTTAACAAAAAAAGGTATTTAATACAGAGTTTTTCTTGTCTATTGTGAATTAGCTTAATAAAATATGCTTCTCAATATGTAAGAGAAAAGAAGTACGCACATTTCATATATACTGAATTAGTGCCAGGAAAGAGGATATTTATTTACTGATTGAATCATTTTATTCTTCTAACATACTACTTTAAAATGCAGTCAGTAATGAATGAGAGTACCAGCTTCGGGTATTAACATTTTATAAATTTTCACTAATTTACTAGGCAAAATTCATACCACATTATGGCTTAAATTTGCATTTATTTGACTTCTTACAAAACTGAGTTTTCTTTATTCCTTAATTTTATTTGTACTGCCTAGGTCTGTTTTTCCCATTTATGTCTATGGGCCTTAATGTCTTTCTTGCTGATTTCTGAGGTTTTTTTGTATAATATAGAAACCTCTTTTACCTCAACAGGATTTTGAACTTCCACAGTTTTGTCATAAACAATTCACATATGAACCACACCATCCTTCTACAGAATTCATAACCTAGTGGAAAGACTGAGAAAAAATCAGGGACACATCCTTACTTACACAGCTTCTTTAACCAAATCACGATACGGCGCTTCTTTGCTTCTACTTCTACTCACAGTTATTTATGACCATCTATAACTGATCACCAACCGTGCTGAGTATTTAATACAACAGACAAGCCTAGTTTATCCTCTTCCTATTACACTGAGGCTAAGAGTACAGCTGTACAGTCGGGTGGTCTGGTTTCAAACTCTAGGTCTCTCACTTCTTAGCTGTGTAACCTTAGTAAGTTATTTAACCTATCTGAGCCCCCATTTCTTCATCTACAAAATAGGAAAATAGTTTCTATAATACCTCATAGGACTTGGTAAGAATAAATAAGATAATGTATGTAAAGTGCTGAATACAATGCCAGCTACAAAGCATATAATGAAATGTCAGGTATCATTATTTTAATAAATACCAGCTATAAAGATGTATGTCTCAGTGACTCTAATGTTAGGGAATTATGTTTATGCCCAATCAAAATATCTCCTCCTATAATCTAAATCCATTTCTTGTTATTCTGTGGAGATGGAAGAACAGCTGTTCGCCATTCTCAGTACAATATCCTTTAATATCACTTAAGATACTGTTAGTACCTCTGATGATTTCATAAAACAAATTGGCACTGAAGAAATAAACAGGTTTGAATAACTGAAAAATATTTAAACTATATACTGTAACCCAAGGAACATTCCAAAACACTGTGGGACAATGTAAATTACCATTAATAAACAAATGTCTTCCTCTTTAACCAAATAGCTGATAATATAACTATATCAGTTACTTAATTTACACATATATATTAATACTAGTACAGCTGTGGATCAACCATCATTTGAGAGTGTTTTTCGCTCTTGCATTGCTTTGTGTAAGCAAGGGAAAATACAATCTCCTTTTAAATATATTTCTACCACCCTCCATTTATTTTCATTGCTTCATGACGCAATAGTCATTTTTTAAAATTAAAAAAAAATTTTATTTACATAAAATTCAGCATAGCACACTCATCCAAAATGTTCTGGGCAGCAGTGGGCAGAGCCAGAGAGAGAAAAAAGCCAAGATTTCAGCTCTAAGTTTCCATCAAACACAAACAAGGAAGCATAATTATTCATATTTTAAATTATGAAAAATCACTCAACATCACCCTCTTAGAATGAAACTGGCCACAAAGAATTATTCTCTCCATTGAATAAGGCAAACAAAAGCAATCAGAAATGCATGCACTTGAAAACTGCTCCAAAGGACATTCATTTAATTTGGCCATTCATTCTCTTTAAATCAGAGTCAGTTACCAAGTATGAAACATGTTCTACACAAAGGAAATGTAATCAAGAGCTGAACAAAACTAGTTCATGAAATAAGCCTAAGAAATACATTTTTTTGATACAACTTTATTTGGATGATAATTTGCCAAACAGAGTTTCATATCTTTCATGCTAAAATTAGAGCATATAGAAATCCATCTTAGCAAATGTTAACTTCATATCTTAGACCCCCAGAAAAGGACATTTACCGCACATCTACATACAGCCCTGGAGTTGAGGCAGTTCTCTGCAGCCTTGCACAGACCTTACGTAGGGCAACAACAAGCCAAAGTCAAAGTGCCAGAAGGAACTATTCAGTACCACTTTATACCACAAAGGAATGTTTCCCTGATTTAACTGTGGTCCTTGTGAGAAATCTGAACCAACCCCATACTCCATCATAGTGTAAATACAGGCAACAGGCTGAGTTCATTCTGGCTACAAACATATGTCAATAACCAGCTCTATCTTAGCACCCAATGTTGACCTTTTACAGAACTGACTCAGAAACAGAGTAGCTATCAAGGAAGCTATGCTAGGATACCACAGTACTATACCTTCAGCTTTTGTCTGCAACACACACACACAGGTTTACAGACACAAAGAAAAAAAGCATCTGTGTATTCCACAGGTTATAAAACAACTTTATCCACATCCCCTACTCCCTATTCTGACCAGGGGATTTGAACTACAGGCTCAAGAAAGGTAAAACTTCAAGGCATGGCATTTAAGGCAAAAGACTTAAAGGGCCATATAAATCTTTCAAATTAAAAGTACATCAGCTCTTGCACTGCTGGTGGGAATGTGAATTGGTTCAGCCACTATGGAGAACAGTATGGAGGTTCCTGAAAAAACTACAAATAGAACTACCATATGACCCAGCAATCCCACTACTGGGCATATACCCTGAGAAAACCAAAATTCAAAAAGAGTCATGTACCAAAATGTTCATTGCAGCTCTATTTACAATAGCCCGGAGATGGAAACAACCTAAGTGCTCATCGTCGGATGAATGGATAAAGAAGATGTGGCACATATATACAATGGAATATTACTCAGCCATAAAAAGAAACGAAATTGAGCTATTTGTAATGAGGTGGATAGATCTAGAGTCTGTCATACAGAGTGAAGTAAGTCAGAAAGAGAAGGACAAATACCGTATGCTAACACATATATATGGAATTTAAGAAAAAAAAAAGGTTATGAAGAACCTAGGGGTAAAACAGGAATAAAGACAGAGACCTACTGGAGAACAGACTTGAGGATATGGGGAGGGGGAAGGGTGAGGTGTGTTAGGGCGAGAGATATGGGAACATATGTATATGTATAACTGATTCACTTTGTTATAAAGCAGAAACTAACACACCATTGTAAAGCAATTATACCCCAATAAAGATGTTAAAAAATAAATAAATAAATAAAAAATAAAATAAAAAATAAAAACACACACACACAAAAAAGTACATCAGGTAAGATGCAGAGTTCTGGAAAATGTGTACTACGATATGAATGTACTTCACTTACTTAACACCACTGAACTATACACTTAAAAAATGGTCAACATGGTAAATTTTATATTTACTATATGTACTTTATTGCAATTTTTTAAAAAACAAGTAAACAGGGCAGTAGCAATGAACAATAGATAACAAAATTTTAAAAAACAATTTATTTACAATAGCAACAAAAAGAGTAAAGTGTTTAGGAACAAATTTAACAAAAGAAGTACAAGTCTTGCACACTGAAAACTACAAAATATTGCTTAAAGAACTTAAACAATATCTAAATAAATGGAAAGACATCTCATATTCATGAACCAGAACATTTAACATTAAGATGAAAATACCCCTCAAATTGATCTATAAATTCAATGCAATCCCTATAAAAAGGCCAGTTGGCTTTTTTGTAGAAACTGAGAAGGTAATTCTAAAATTCATATAGAAGTGCAAGGAACCCACAATAGCCAAAACAATCTTGAAAGAGAATTAAGTTGAAAGACTCACACTTTGCAATTTCAAAACTCACTACAAAGCAACAATAATCAAAATTGTGTGGGACTGGCATAAGGACAGACATAGATCAATGGAATAGAATTTAGAGTCTACAAATAAATCCATACATTTATGGTCGTTTGGTTTTCAATAAGGTCCCAAGACCATTCGATGGGAAAAGAATAATCATTTTAACAAATGGTGCCAAGGCAACTGGATATCCACATGCAAAGAATAAAGTTAGACCCCTACCTCACACCATATATAAAAATTACTCAAAAGAAATCAGTGACCTAAATGTAAGAGCTAAAATTAAAAACTCTTAGAAGAAAACAAGTGTAAATATTCATGACTTTAGATTAGGCACTAGTTTCTTGGTATGACACCTAAAACACAAGCAACCAAAGAAAACAGAATGATTGGACTCCATCAAAAGTGAAAAAACACAAAGGACGGGAGAAAATATTTACGAATCATATATCTGATAGGGGTCTAGTATCCAGAATATATTGAGAACTCTTTCAATTCAACAATAAGACAAATAATCAATTTTAAAAATGGGCAAAGGACTGAATAGACATTTCTCCAAAAAAGATAAACAATTGGCCATAAGCACATGAAAAGATGCTCAACAACATTAGCCACCAATAAAATGCAAAACAAACCACAATGAGACACTACTTCAAAAAGACAGAGAATAACAAGTGTTGACAAAGATGTGGAGAAACTGGAACTCTCATACATTGCTGTTGGTAAAGTAAAACAGTGCAGTCACCTCAGAAGACAGTTTGGGAGTCCCTCAAGAAGTTAAACATAGAATTACCACATGACCAAGCAATTCTACTCCTAGGTATATACCTGTTACGGCCTCAGTTGTGTCCCCCCAACTAATTCATATGCTGAAGCACTGATCCCTCAGTCTCTCAAAAGGTAACTATATTTGGAGAGAGGGCCCTTAAAGAGGTAATTAAATTGATTTTTAAGCATTTATCCTTTAAAAATTTTTTTGATTGAAATATGATTGATGTACAATGTTATGTTAATTTCAGGTGTACTAAGAGGTGACTAAGTTAAAAGGAGGTCATTAGGGTGGGCCCCAATGCATATGACTGGTGTCTTTATAAGAAGAGGAAATCTGGACACATAAAGAGATACCAGGGATGTGCACACACATAGGAAAGACCATGTGATGACACAGTTAGAAGGCAGCTATCCACAAGCCAAGGAGACAGATCTCAGAAGAAACCAAACCTGGGACTTCCCTGGTGGCGCAGTGGTTAAGAATCCACCTGCCAATGCAGGCGACACAGGTTCGAGCCCTGGTCTGGGAAGATCCCACATGCCATGGAGCAACTAAGCCCACGTGCCACAACTACTGAGCCTGTACTCTAGAGCTTGCGAGCCACAACTACTGAGGCTGTGTGCCACAACTACTGAAGCCTGCACACCTAGAGCCCGTGCTCTGTAACAAGTTAAGCCACTGCAATGAGAAGCCCGCGCACCACAACGAAGAGTAGCCCCTGCTCTCCACAACTAGAGAAAGCCCGCGCACAGCAACGAAGGCCCAACACGGCCATAAATAAATAAATAAATAATAAAATAAATTTAAAAAAAAAGAAGAAGAAGAAACCAAACCTACTGATACCCTGATCTTCGACTTCTAGCCTCCAAAACTATGGGAAAATAAATTTCTATTGTTTAACCCACCCAGTCTGTGGTATTTTGTTATGGCAGCCCTAGCAAATTAATACAATACCCAAGAGAGATGAAAACGTATGTGCTGCTGACAACTGACATAAATTGTCTTGAATAATTCAGTTGTGGACACATTTTTTTTTTTTTTTTTTTTTTTTTTGTCTTTTTTTTGTCCTTCTAGTACCTATATCTCCCCTCGCTTCAGTCAAACATCTATTTCCTATGGAGAACCCACTCCATAGCACTCTATCTGCCAGGCCACAGTGATGATTCTGCAATGGCTATGTAACCCCAGGCGAGGTAGGCAGAGTACTCACTGGAGTTTTGCTGCTGGAGCTCTCAGGAAAGATTCTTTTTCTGCTGGGCAGTTCAGCTGAGACTATGTAAGTTTAAAGCTGCTGCCCACCAAAGTCCTTGGCAGAATGAAGGAAGCTGTCTGCAGAATAAGGCCAGCACAGAGAGAAACACAGAATGAGAGGTAGAGAGAGAGAGAAAGAAAGAGCTCTAAAAAATTATGTGAGGCCCAGGATCTCAACTGGACTGAAGCCTGTTATACCCTAGACTCCAGCAGTGTGAGCCAATACATTCACAGTGACATAAATGGATTTCTGGGACTCTAATGAAAGAAAGATTCCTGACTAATATGAATGCCTGACTCTAAATACATGAATAACCTGGAAACCAGTTATTAATGCATTTGAAAACTATTGTGGAACAAAGCAGGGGGATAGGTGGAAAAAGGGAACCTAGAAGGATGACAAGAGAGAAATATAGGCTATATAAGAAAGGCTTATATACACTTGCAAAAGCAAAGTTATTTCCAGAGGATAATTTAATTTTGGGGGCCAGACTGACTGGGTTTGAATCCTGAGCTGGACATTTATAAACTGTGACTTTGGTCAAGTTATTTAATTTCTTTGTACCTCAGTTTTCTATTCTGAGGAAAAGGAGAATGTTAGTAGTATCTACCTTATAGGTCTATTGTGAGGATCAAAGGATTTAGAATAGGGTTTGACAAGTGACAAGTATTCACTAAACACTGGTTATTGTTAATATTGTTATTATAAGACCTCAAAAGTTAAATTTCTACCTTTAAAATAATACATTTATAATAATTTAACAATAATACTTCAGGAAAGAAACATGGTAGTTAAAGAAGAAATTGAGATCTTCATACAATGGGATATTACACAACCATAAAAGCAAGTACAGTTATACGCTATGACATGGGGGAATTTTGAAAACATTATGCTAAAGCGAAAGAGGCCAGACATAACGGTCACACATTGTATGATTCCATTTATATAAAACATCCAGAATAGACAAATCCATGGAGACAGAAAGCAGATTAATGGTTATTAGGGGAAGTAAGGAGTTTCTCTGTAGTGTGATTAAAAATGTTCTGCAATCATGGGTGATGACTGCAAAACCTAGTGAATATACCAAAAACTGCTGAAATACACACTTTAAAATGGTAAATTTTAGTGAATTATAACTCAATTTAAAAAAAGAATTTGAGTTTAAGAAGTCCATATTATCACTTATGGAATTCCATTTTCCCGAGGATTACTCACATCAAGCAGGTATTTGTAAAGTGTGTGCTAGTTCTGTTAAGAAGGGATGAGGGTTACAGAAAGTGTGGGTTATTTTTGAGAAACATATGTACTTATATTAGATAACCCAAAGTTGACTTGGAAATCTAAAGAAAAATAAATAACGAAAGCTGTACTTTTTATTGTGACTTTCTGCACTTTAAAAATCTGTCTGCCTGTTTTTAGGGAGAAAAAGCATATGTAATTTCATAGAGAACCTGAGTAATAATACAAGAGAGAATCCAGCAAATGCTGGAACATTGGCCAAATAGACTCTATCAGATTAAAAAAAAGAAACTCAAAGCCCGATTCCTTCAATACACTCAAGAACAAGTAAAATATACTAAGAACATGGGGTCTTACAGACTCACCATGAACTCCTGGAAATCAAACAATTACAGAAACTAGGAAGAGTACTTAAAGTTTACAGAATCAGAGAGTCTGAGGATGGACACATTTGCCATCCTGTGTTGTAAATCAAACGTCTGTATCTTCTCAATTACCACCAGAGGGGGGACTCAAGATGCAGTCCACTGTCTCACCTGTTTGTTCCAACACATCAGGTGCCATTTAATTCTGACCCTCTCCCACAAAGCTTATCTGTTTGTTTATCCTCTGCCTTGGGACTTTTCTATTTCCTAGTTAGCGCTCCCTTCACTTCAGGTCATGTCCAGTATGGACATGTATGGACAGCATATCATCCAGTAAAAATATTAAAATACATGTCTTATCACACTCAAAACATCATGATGAAACAAAATTCTGGAGGAAATTTGGAATTACCCTTGAAAAATAAGTATATTAGAAGAAATTTCACTCAATTGAAATGTATCTCTAAATTATAAGCCAAAGACAACTAGACATATTCACAGAGAAAATTTAGGAAGCACACTAGCAAAAGGAGAAATCTACCACCTCCCTGTTTGAAATATGGAAGATTACATGTTGAGTCTATATGACTAAAACGATACCTTATAACCAATCACTACTTCTAAATGTAAAGGATTGTAATAGGATTAATAAGACGAAAACATTAAAAAGAAACAGAACACAATGAAGGAGAATAAATATTATACTTTGTAAACCTACCGAAAATCAATATCCAATAAAAGGCTTTTAATGTTAGACTTCTTGTCACCTGATGCTTTCAGCCTGATCAGCTCATGCAACCTAAAGCAATTAGTGAAAGCAAATTTAATAAGAAATTACAAATGCCATAGATAACAAGCAAACAAAAAACCCATCAATGTTCTCCTGATATTTCTAATATTTCAGTGAAACACTGAAGAAAATTTGGCAAGTATAAGTAAGGTTTAAATTTCACAAATATTTTTAAAACAGTGGATGGATCTCATCTGAATCAGAAAACTCTAAAATAATAAATAACTTAAGAATCAAATCAGAAAGAATTTCCTATCATATTTCAGAAATCTATAAAGATTTCTCTCAAATGGAATAAAGATTACAAACTCCTCAGAGAGGGACCATGCTTTATATTTCCTTTGTATACTTGAAGCTTCATGTCGTAACCTGCACATAGTATTGGGTTGGACAAAAAGTTCATTTGGGTTTTCCATATCTTACAGAAAAACCTGAACGAACTTTTTGGCCAATCCAATAAATAACTACTTAATAAATTTTCTAACAGTTTAAATAGTAGTGATGGGAGAATGTTTAAAATACCATATAACATACCTTGGTGTCCCGACACACAGTACTCTTCTGAACCCAAGGGTAGAGAGTAGGTCTACCAAGAACAGACAGCTCCTATCAGCAAACAAATACTGAGCATTTGTCTTCTTGTTTTCCAGTGGATAAAGGAGTTGACTGGGCCTTTTTAACTGGGTGATAGAAATATCACCCACTATCTGATGCTTGCGATGCTTTTCCTCATCATCTGGCAACAGCAACTGCTGACATCTTTGACAAAACTTTCTCTGAGACAAGGGCAACTTAATAAACTTCAAGTACCTTCAAGACATAATAAAACACAAAGGAATACATTTTAAGTTTGTTGCTTTAAAGACAATTGATTTTCGCCAGGTTTAACGTGCAAAAAGTATTATTACTTCCTAAAGAGTACTGCATGAAGAAGCAAAGGCACAAAACAATCTGTGGAATGTTGGCTAGGATTTATGTCTGGCTGCATACCTACAAAGTGGAAAAGAATCAGCGATTTCTTAAAAATTGAGATGCTCCAATTTAGTCACTGGCTGAAGATCAATATCCATTTAAAATGTGAATATAATATATTATTCAAACAACTTAGTAGTAATGGAGACTACTATCACCTTTAAATTTATTGACAAATCCATGTGTTCTAACTTGGAGGTGTTAAACAGTCTGGCTCAGTAAGACAGTCAATTTCAAATGAGAAATTAAGATCATTCTTCAATTTCTTATGGCATACATAGCAAGAAAAATTACCTCCTAAAAGAAAAAATGTTCCCACAAAGTTCCTCTATTCTTAGCAGTACTGATGGAGGCAGTTCTGAGAAGCTCACCCCCAAAGCAGCAAAACAATAATCAAAGCCTTAAGAAATACGATACCAGATAGCCTATATGATCCCTTTCAAGTCATCTTTATAACTGATTTCAAAGTCACTACTTTGGGATTTTTTCCCCTCTCTTTTCATTTTATTACTGATGATTAAAGAGAGAAGACAATCACAGTACGTTTTTAAAACTGCTGATTTTGTATATGCAATCCAGCTAAGAATTCACAGTAAGATGGACTTCCCTGGTAGCGCAGTGGTTAAGAATCCGCCTGCCAATGCAGGGGACATGGGTTCGAGCCCTGGTCCAAGAAGATCCCACATGCCACGGAACAACCAAGCCCATGCGCCACAACTACTGAGCCTGTGCTCTAGAGCTCACGAGCCACAACTACTGAGCCCGCATGCCACAACTACTGAAGCCCATGTGCCTAGAGCCCCTGCTTTGCAACGAGAAGCCACCGCAATGAGCCCATGCGCCACAACGAAGAGTAGCCCCTGCTCACCACAACTAGAGAAAGCCCACGCACAACAATGAAGACCCAAAGCAGCCAAAAATAAATAAATAAATTTTAAAAAATTTAAAAATTAAAAAAAGCAGAGTAAGAAAACAAAAGAAAAATAAGTAAGATTATCATGGCTCATAGAGGGTCAGAAATATCTAGAACTAAGCATGTCAAATAGTGCACTAAAGGATTCTTAGAGTTTGAAAACAGTCATATGATTTCAGTTGAACTAAACTCTGAACTGCACTGTAAAAACTGTGAACTTAACATAGAATCAAAGTGGGTATTAAAACTTTCTGTATATAAGCACAGTTTCACTTCAAAGCACCCAAGGCAGTGAGAAATAGATATTCTGAATGGCGATAGCAAGAAATAAGCTCATCATGCTGGTAATTTGTTTCTATTTCTATGATAACTGTTCTTTTGACAGCTTTATCTATGACTGGAAAGAAAAAGGAGCATGATATCAGAAGAAACTTTAATAGTAATTCAAAGAAAGAGTG